TACTTAAAGAGGTCAGATGGTAATTTACACAAATAAAAATTTTGTATAGATTTGCCGAAAATACGAATAATTTCTGTAATAATAATAAATCGGTTGTAAGTCAAATTTCCGTCCTTTTATGTTTTTCTTCTAAACCGGTATCCTATTCGTTGATATAAAATTTAGGTCGCTGCTCGTTGGTTTGTGAACGGCCAAAATAGGTCAGTTAAACTGTGCACTTTTCTCTTGTCATTAATGTCTATTACGCCTTCAGATCCAGTTTAAGTTCCGCATTAATATATCGGTGTTTAATTCCTTACGTTATTTATGTGTTAAACTTGTTATTGAGAGAATTTAAATGTAACTTGAACAAATTAATTAGAGGCTGTTGGCACATATTTTAGACAGTTTTCATTGTATTTACGGGAAATATTTTACCTAAAATTTCTGTGTTTTAAATATTCTATTTGATTACCCTATTTTCACTGTCTTTCTATAACGTAATTTCCAAGACAGCCTTTTGTATTATCGGAAGAGGTATTTTATCCCATTCGTCTTGAAGTATACGGAGGATTTGTAGGTCGACATTTAGACAATTCGGTTTTCAAAAGTCCGAAAGCGCCAAAATCCTCAGATGATGCATCAGAAGATTTAATAGGGATTTGAGTGAAAGAGTGTGGCCTTGGTACCCGTTTCCTGTTCCATTTTTTTAAAGGAAATGAACAGTGGGTTAAAGAGAAGGTATTTTATATTAGAAAGTTGGGTCTAAACTATGTTCTGGATAATATGTGTGGTTGATTTTAACATTTTTCTCCACTCTTTTTGCTTTTAAATTGCCGTTATATAAAAAAACCAGCAGTGATCATAAATCCAATTGAAAAACTTTCTTTAGATTTTTTTTTAACTATGTTTTAAGATTTTTTTTTCTCTTTGATTATAATAAATAGATCTTTTTGTATTGAAGTCGTTTAAATACGCTCGAAATTCATGCAATACGACAAAATGTTTACAATTTTTAACCGAATAAATGTTTATCAAAGAAATCTGCAGCACGTTTTGCGTTTGGCGATATGTCGTTGAGAAAGACGAGGCGCATATATTTTTGCCTTTTTATGATTCAAGTCGGCATTAATCACATTTTTACGGTTTTCAGTTGGATGTATGACTACTGCTGGTTGTTCATGTAACGGCAATTAAGAAATAAAGAGATTGGAGAAAAATTAAGATAAACTCCACATATTATCAGGAGCATATTTTGTACCCAATATTCAAATGTGAAATACATTCTGTTTACCCACAGTGTCATCATTTAGTAGAACTGCATCGAAGGATGCAGCCACATGTCAAAATCCACTGTTAATTTCCTGGAAAAAAACGGAACAAGAAACGGGTATCAAGGCCATCCTCATATTCCTTCTAAATCACCTGATGTATCAAGAACTTTTGAAAAGCTGATTGTGCAAACGTGGATCTACAAGGTCCAAGAGCAGTCCAAGAGGTATGGAATAAAATATAAAATACTTCTTCCGATACTACAAAGGACTTTATTATTGTTTTTGCAATTACGATGTAAATCCACCTTGTACTTTGGGAAAGCTGTCTAAGAGGTATAGGATAAAATACCTCTTCCGATACTACGTAGGACATTATTATTATTTTGGAAATTACGATGTAAACCTACCTTGGACTTTAGAAAGCTGTCCAAGAGGTATAGGATGAAATACCTCTTCCGATACTACAAAAGACTTTATTAATGTTTTGGAAATTATGACTTGGAAAGATGATGAAAAATAATGGGTTTCAAATAGTGGACAATCGTACATGTTTTAGACAACGATAATCATCTAAAAATTCTGCCAACAGTGCCGTATCTTATTCCTCTTATCATTTCCTTCCCCAGAACTTGAGATTTTTTTTCTTGCCAGTGTCATAAAATAATGTCATTGTATTCAAATGAAATATTCAAGAGTTCTAAACTAATTCTATTGTTCATTCGTAAGATTTTTTAGAAGTAATAATTTGAGATGAAAAGATCTTGGAATTCTGGTATTTTCTGTTTTGCATTATATTTTGTAATGCATTCATTTTATTGCCATTAATTAGTTGAATATGAATGTATTGTAGTAAAGCTAGATAAATATTAGTAGTAAAACTAGATATATAAAATTCGATTTTCTAGAGGTTTGACTACTTAATTAAAATAGTACTCATTTCTTCTTTAGTTAAGGAGCTATCATATTTATTACGTTATATATATAGCTATAATATTTAGCGGTTATCGTTTCCACAAAGTCCTTACCTGGACAGTATTTTTACAACAATTTGTCTATAGACATATTTCCTGTGAAAAATGTTTTAAATGACATGTAAATGTAGAAAAATGTTTTAAATGACACGAGTATTCATATTTTGATATTTTTAAATAAAACAAAGCTTTTATTTTAAGCAAAAACACAAAATCTAATTTTTTACATGTTCTCCTAGTCTCTACATTTATATTTATTTAGAATTATTAGCAATAAGACAGAAAAAGTTTGACTTTCTTGCTACAAAATTTGAACGAGTACGATTTTTATGGATTTTACAGCGACAGAAAATCGAATTTATCGCATTCTTTGAGAGGTCGATTAAAAAATAAATAAGATAAATCGAGGGGTTTTTTTTAAAGCCCAGAGGGCATTAACCCAGAAGGGCTATTAATTTCGTTTTGACATTTTGCTTTGAAAACTTTAAATATCGGTTCACTTTTCAAACTATTGCCACTAAATATTACAGCCCTGTATTATATTTTAAGAATTTAAATAATGAAGAATCTGCATAAATTTATATATATTTCTCGCATTGTGATAAAACGATGGTACCTAGAGCCATCAAATTTTAAATAACGTACGTTTCCACCCGAATATGGGCATCTGGAAGCCCAAATTTAGAATTTTACTTTTAAATTATAATTTAATAATCGTATAAAAATTAAACTAGAAATGTTTTTTAATTTACGTAACTAATGTTCCGAATTAGTAGTGCACCTATACCGAAGCTTGCTAATGTTTTCTAGAACACGATTTAGAAGATTCTGTAAGTAAGGTTTCCTTTTTGAAAACATTTGTATTGAACAATACATTTCTTGACAATCTGCATATTAATGTGCTAGCGAATTAATCCTTTTCTGAACTAATATTTTACGTTTAATTGCTTCCGAATGCTAACAGTTTTTCAGTTTGTGTACGGCGACTAAATTATTCTGTAAATATCTCAGTCAAGTTCTGTCGGACAGGTGTCACAGTTTTTAAATTTTATTTTAATACTAGCGGGCTGCTGCCAGAGCAAAATTTATAAGTTCTATGTACACTTGAAAAGCAGATGTATAAAAACGTTTTGGTATGAATGAAATCAGTCCATTCTTCTCAAGCAAAAACCAATTCGTAAGTAATTTTTTTGTTGCCAAACCAGGAAATAAAAACTTTTGACACTTCAGGTTAATACGTATGACGCCGTGATTTAAATTTAATGCAATAAAACGACATTTTCTCAATATCAATAAAAAGATTAACGTGATATCGTGTCAATTATCCTAACCTGAGAACAAAATAGTTGTCAACAGCAGCTATATATTTAAAATGCTGACATTGATGAAAAATTTTCGACATACAATGACGTCACTTGCAATCGCGTGCTTTCTTCAAACGTCAGATATAACATTATATAATAATAATATGTTTAAAATTTGGCAGTGCTGTTTTATTTCATATTTTGTAAAACTTACAAATTTTTTATTAAACTCTACGATTTGAAAGCGAGAAGTGGCAACACTTTTAGAAATAAGGCAGACTTTTATTTCCAGCACGCAAGACTGTTGCCACTCGGAAAAACGAGTGCGAAAATTAACGTTTCGAGAGTTTTTAAAATATCAAAGTCGTAAGAAAATAGGAATGGTCGAAATGGCTTCCCACGAATTTTTGGAATCTGGAATAATATAGTTAATGTTTGGCAGTGCTATTTTTACTCCATATTTTGCGAAACTTAGAAGTTTTTTTAAAGAAATTTTACGATTGGAAAGCGAGCAGTGGCAACACTTTTCGAAATAAAACTATCTTTATATCCAGCGTGCCACTCGTGAAAATTAGCGTTTTTAGAGTTTTTAAATTAATATATCGCAAATTAAACTCGTACGAAGATGAAAATGGTCGAAATAGCTTCCTACGATTTTTTGGAATGTGTGTGTCTGTGGGGGGGATGTACTTTCTCGAAACTTTTCCCCGCCGCTCCGCAGGTAATAATGCCACAAAACAGACGCACACACAGATCTGAACAGTATAGATATTTAATAAAGTTTTCCTAAACATAAAAGTATACGGATCAGAGGACTGCATAAAAAATTAGATTCCGCATTTTTTACGAAATAGGTTCTTTTTAATTAAAAAAATGGCAGATAAAAATAGATGTTCGCATCCTTTAAAAAAAAAAAAATTTTTTTTTTTTTTTTTTTTTTAAATACCTGGAATCAGAAAATGTCTATCAGGAACAGTTGCAAAAATGGCCGGGTAAAGACTTTTGTTAACACGCTTGGTATTAAATAATTAACGGTATATGATTTGTTGTGAGTATTTTTATTCCGTTTTCTGAACACTTTTTCTTTATTTTAATGTAATCGAATAGCAGTTAGATGTAGAAGCACATTTCATATTGCTTCTGTTTTAATTTTCACTTCAAAAACTGTCTTGATTTCCATAAATTACCGAATATGTGAGCATACGTTATAATACTGCAATACAATATATGAGAAAATAATGAAAAATTCATTTTTGTGTTTCCTTTCCCGTTCCTCATTTTTACGCATGAAAACAAATCATGCATGAATTTATTGAAGAGAGTTTCTTCCCCACATAAATGAAAAATTTTAACTCCTTGCTAATCTCTCTCTCTCTCTCTCTCTCTTTTTTTTTTTTTTTTTTTTTTTTTTTTTTTGTCTTGTGATTTGCTTTTAATCTGTGTGATCCTAACTGTAATGTTTTGCTCCTTAGTTCCCAAACTGCCCCTGAAAAGATTCCTTCTGCTGAGGTGGAACGCGAAGTGGACCCTTCTGCTGGAAGGTAAATCTGGTTGAATGTAGTTGCATTGTGAATGTTTCAGTAACATTTTTCTTTTAAACTGTTTACGGAGGCTGTTCTCACATTTTTAGACGAGTTTCCTTTGCTGTGAAAAAAAAATCGTCTGCGAAGATATATATATATAAGGTGGAACTATATTTTTGAAAGTATAAATTATCGTTTGTTACTTGACAGTTTCGCTTTCATGCAGAAATGCCGCTTTTAAAGAAGCAATGGATGGAAGGGTATATTTTGCTCTTTCCAGAAAAAAATATTCGTATCTATTCATTAAAAAACGCCGTGAAAGCCAAGGTTTTTGATATCTAAAGCTAGGATTGGTACTATTGGTTAACAAGAAAGGTAAAAAGTCAAAAGTTTGGCTTCAAGTGGAAAAATTGTTCCAAATGCATATATCCAAGGGAAAAAAATAATATATCTAATATTGCAAAGGATCTTTAAGTTAAAAGAAAATTCATTAAAGACAGTTGCAAAATCATTAAAATGCTCTGTGTCGACTGTAAACAAAGTAATTAATGCTGATTTGAATCTTAAATAGGAGAAAATAGGTAATGTGCTTCGTCTTTCTCCAAGACATGTTGCCAAACGCAGAACGCGCTGCAAAACTCTTTACGAGAAACATTTATCTTCACAAAAATTAGAAAATGTTGTTACAATAGATGAATTTCGAGCGTGTTAAAGCGACTTCAATAAAAAGAGATTCAGTTACTATCATCAAAGAGTAGATCAAAATCTTAAAAGCATGATTCAAAGAATCTAAAGAAAGTTTTTCAGTTGGATTTATGATTACTGCTGGTTCATATAACGGCAATTTAAAAAAAAAAATAAAGTGGAGAAAAATATTAATACCAACTCCACAAATTATTAGGAATACATTTTGTACCCAATATTCGAATATGAAATACCAGCTCTTTACGCATAAAGTCATCAGTCAGTAGAACTGCATCAAGACAAAGCAAGCCCCCCCCCCCCCAAAAAAAAAAAAAAAACTGGTATCAAGGCCATACCGTTCGCTCATATCCCTACATAAATCTCCTGGGACGTTTGAAAGCTGTTCAAGAGGAATGGAATAAAATACCCCTTCCGTTACTACAAAAAGCTTTATTGTTTTTGAAATTATGTTGTAGAAAGATAATGAAGAATAAAGGTTATCTAACAAAATTAAGCATAAAACTGTAGGTAAAATATTTCTATAAATACAATGAAAGTCGTCTAAAAAGCGTGTGAACAGCCTCTTTTATTCCTTGATTTGTTATGCAGTATGCGTTTCCGAACGGGTAAGTTATCAAGGCCTACCACGTATGTGGCAACATTTTCCACTTCAAATGCTGTGAAACCTGTGTTCACGAAGTTAATTTGTTCCTGAAAAACCGTTCAACGATTTAATTCGTTCCTGAAAGCCGTTCATCGTCCGAAATGAATTAATTTCCCCATAGAAAGTAATGTAAAATGAATTAATTCATTCTTGGACCACAGATTATCGCTTATTTGAAATTTACGATAGTACTTTGCGCGCAAATTCGTAAAAAAGTATCTGAGGTAAGAAATGTAATTTTTACGTACAGATAAAATAGACGGAAGTTTTATTTAATTCTATCCTGCCAGTGTGTTAGAAAATGGACGACGTAAATGGTGAATTCTGAAGCATCTTTTTATCCTTTCTTTGTCTGTTCGCACCACTCAATTCTACTTGAAGATTCACTGGGCCTCATTTCTTTTCAAAATTTGTCCAATATGATTTGCTGTTGCCTACGTTTTGAAATGTTGCTAAAATGATACACGGCATTTATTTAAAATGCTTAGTGGTGATTTCATTCGATTCTACTTGATACCACTCGATTCTACTTGATTATACCACTCGATTCTACTTGAAGATACTACGAGACTACTTCAAGTACTTCATACTACTTCAAGTACTATGAGCTACCACTCGATTCTACTTGAAGATTCACTGGGCCTCATTTCTTTTCAAAATTTGTCTAATATGATTTGCTGTTGCCTACGTTTTGAAATGTTGCTAAAATGATACACGGCATTTATTTAAAATGCTTAGTGGTGATTTCATTCGATTCTACTTGATACCACTCGATTCTACTTGATTATACCACTCGATTCTACTTGAAGATACTACGAGACTACTTCAAGTACTATGAGCTACCACTCGATTCTACTTGAAGATTCACTGGGCCTCATTTCTTTTCAAAATTTGTCCAATATTATTTGCTTTTCCCTGCGTTTTGAAATGTTGCTAAAATGATACACGGCATTTATTTAAAATGCTTAGTGGTGATTTCATTAACATGAAACATCGCATCTTAACCAATTTGCACAATTCGCGGATCAAAGAAGTAGGTTTTTTTTTTTTTTTTTCCCTGAAGTCTCTTCCTCCGCAAGTGCCTGATGCTGCTGCATTTGGAAATGTTTGTTTCTTTCTTGTTGAATTTTTTTTTTTTTTTTTTTTAAGTCCTCTAGTAATTCTTCCACGTCTTTGCTTTTGGCTAGAGATCCAATGTAATGGATAACTAAAGAAGCCCTTAGTGCTAAAACCTCAGCCTTAGTCGCAACACCCAGCCAGGTCCAGGCGGAATTCATGGTCCTTCCTGGTTTTGTTAATGAGATTTAAGCAAGTAAAATTATTAAAATAATATTACTAGAAGACCCTGAGTGTTAATTTTGATTCTTTGTCCTAGGTTACTTCAAAACACCTTTCTTGTTGCCAAGTTGAGTGTTCGTAACTCGAGACATGGAGACATTTTTTGTTCTAAGTTGTTCGTGGTCTGAAGTTTCACTGCATAGTATTTTTCGGCATATAATCAAACCCAAGGTTTTTATCCAAATGGTCAAATTCAGATATACCTTCGTATGCGTGGACTTTTGCGGCAACTAGAAAATTTGGTGTAAACGAAAAAATATTCAATAGCGAAATAAATAAAAAAAAAAAAAAAAAAAAGTATTAGAAGCTACGCCAGAATGAGAAATAGCTAAAAAAGGTAAGTAGAATTTGAAGATACTGTGGGAAAGCGTATTTTTAACAAAATGGATGCGTCGCCACTCGCATGCTCTTGAAAATGACTCAATTCCATATGAATTTTACAAATTTTGAGGGAAATGTTAGTTGGGAGTCGAATTTATGGAAGAAAAGTGTACAATGATGCGATAGCTTCGGCAGAAAATTAAATGAAATAAATTAGCATTTTAATTTCTGGTACATTGTGTCGTGAATTTTCTTCTGTAATTTAAAAAAAAGGTCAATAAAAATTTTTATTTGCAATTTATTCTGTAATTATTCTGCAATATAATAGGCTACATTATATTTTTGCCCCTTAAAATATTCATTGAATATTTTTTCAATTATACGTAAAAATACTTTTCCAGTGACATTTTTATTTGGAATGGCAAATATACTGTTAATGATCTTTTACTCAATATAATCATTAACTTTATTCGTAAATATAAAAAGATACATTTAATACATTATATCTAGCATATCATGCATTTGGCATATATCTGTTCGGCGTATCATATCCACCGTATAACCATGTCTTAATTGCTAAAATTAGAAAAGCCAAGAAGGCCGTCAGGAGAAAGAATTTAATAATAAATAAAATTAATAAATGTAAAATACTTAATAAAATAAATTAAAAAAACTAATAAAATCTAAATGGTGAAATAAAAGAATCTAATTTTTCAACAACATTTATCGTTCATTAGTTTCATCAAATGAGATTAATTCATCAATAAAATTATCATTCACTTTTCGCGAGAATTCATCCCTTTCATCTGCATTAATGTATTAGAATTGCATGCGATAATCATTTGCATGTAGCCATTTGACTTGTACAACTCTTCCCCCCCCCGCCAAACCAACTATGATGTGAGTGAATGTCTGTGGGACATGCACGTCTGTTGCATATGCAACAGGAACTTAATTTCAAAAGGCAAACCTGAAGAATATAGGAGTTGATGCCTAAAAGTAATTGGTAATTTGTTTGGTAGTATATTTAGCTTCGTTAAATTAGTCTGTCAACTTTCTCATATTGGCTGGTGCTGCCATCTGGTGGAAGAAGAAGAAGACTTTTTGGGACTGAATCTGCGAGCGTAATCTAAATACTGGCATTCCTTCTTCGCCTGTGTGAAACCAGTATCGGAGCGTAATTAATTGCAATGAAATTTATAATTCTAAAAAAATTATTGTAAATAACTTGTTTGAATAAAGTTTTAAAAATACTCCCAGCATGTCAACTCTAAAGAATTATTCTTTCAAATACTTACGTCGAAATAAAATTACAGATTCGGGAAATAACTGACAGTACTAAAATAAGTACTTCCGAAATCGCATTAATATAATTTATCTTTTTTTGTGGTGGAATTTAATTGAAATATTCTAATGCATTTCATGGAAAATTATCTTAGTTTTATGTATTTCATAAGTACAGTTATGCAAATTGTAGAGACATTAAAAAATAAATGCAACAGTTTTTGACTTACATTTCGTAATTCTGAATTTTTACCCAATTCTTAATACATTTGACATAATTTTTATAGATACATATTTGGCTCACTTTGTTATGTTACAGATTTAGTCTGTAAGAATATTTTGCATTTCCACAGTTTTAATTTTGGCGGGCTCAGAACCATTATTGAAATATTTAATCATCTTTAAATAAGCCTTTTTGGGATATATTGAAGAGGGTGTATTTAATGGTCTTGTATACCCCTTTTTTCTCGTCTGCTATTAACAAAAGAGGGCTTTCAGACCAACAGATTTTATATACCCTTACTCCTTTACATAGATGCAAGTATTGCAAATACCCGAGCCTTCGCTAACAATTATATCAACCAGAAGATGTCATGGGAAGGAGTAGTGGTATGTTTCGCTGCTTTTAGCTGTATAGAATGGAACTGTTAAACTATTTCACAGGATTTTATAGTTTCCTATTGACCATTTCCCCCTCTTTCGTTCACCCAGGCACCTCCCCCCTCCA